CACTGAATTTTATATTTCCAATGAATGAAAATGTTACACAGATAGATTCTCAAAAATGTTAGAAGAGAAAAAAAATTCAGGTTTAGAGGATATTGCCCTCAAAAGCATCCTAGGCTGTCTATAATATAAAGCTCCTAAATGAATGAAAATGTTACACAGATAGATTCTCAAAAATGTTAGAAGAGAAAAAAAATTCAGGTTTAGAGGATATTGCCCTCAAAAGCATCCTAGGCTGTCTATAATATAAAGCTCCTATAAATGAATTCAGAATGTACCTACAGTGAACATGTAATAAGAGATACCCAATAATCATAAGGCCAAATAAGGCTGTACCACAATGTAGAGTGCAGCTACAGATATGGAGTTTGGTAGCTTTCTTGTACAGAACAGTAATAACTTTGCAAGATGAATTCTTTTGAATTTGCAAGATGCAATTTGAGGTGCTAGTCGCTACCTATAAAGCCCCACATGGCATAGGGCCTAGTCACTTGAGAAGCCATCTATCTCCCATAGAATCTGCCCAGCCAGTTGAATCTGGCAGGGTTGGCGTGCTCTGGCTTCCATCGATTAAACAATGCCATCTGTCTGGACCCCAGAAGTGTGCCTTCTCTGTAGCAGAACCTGCCCTCTGAAATGAGGTTCCCTCTGAAATTCGAATGACTCCCACCCTACTAGTATTTCAAAGGGCCTTAAAGACATGGCTCTTTGCCCAGGCCTTTGGAGAGGACAACTGGCATCCCTTTCTTCCTTTCTGTTTCCTTCTAGGTTTGTTTTCTTTGCCATTGTTGTTTTTTTGTCTTGTGCTGTTCTTGTGTTTTTTGCATTGTTCCTTGTTTTTAAATGTTTTAACAACTGTAAACTGCCCAGAGTTGCCAGGAGTCAGGTGGCATATAAATTAAATAAATTATTATTGTTGGTTGCACAGTCAGCCAGATGTTTGGGCTGGATTTGGCATTTTTATCCACCTATCAAGTCCATCCCAAGGACCCAGGATGGACAGATGTTGTTGTTTGATGGTGTTAAAGTTATCATTGCAGGATGTAAGCTGTTCCAAGTAAAGCTGCCTTTTGCAATTGACTGATGATTTTGTCAATGCCAAGGGTCTTCAAGTGGTACTCCAGATGTTTTGGGATTGTACTCAAGACACTGTTATTATTGGTACTATCTTTGCTTTCTTTTGCATTTGTATATTATTATATTATATTATTTATTTTATATTATTATTATTTTTTCTTGATATTTCATTAGATGCATATTCCAAAATTATAAA